AGTCGACTGTTAAGTTATATATAATTTATAATATTCTTCTATTCTTCTAATAAAAATTTACATTAATTTTTTCATCAAATTATACTAATTATACTTGATAATTATTACTATGGGATAAAATACCTAATTCTTGCCGGATTACAATTAGGGTCTTGCTTCGAATTACGAACTATGCCTCGCGTCACGAATTATTACTTGGGATGTTAATAATATTATGTCAAAATTTTCTTTATTTACCATTAAACAAAAATTTTATTGATTATAATTTGTTGTGATAATTATTAATAAAAAAACATATGTTAAATTAAAAATAGCAAACATACAGTATATTTGTTTATTTTCTTTATAATTATCCTAGTGGGTTTAGCTAACCGTTTGGGTCATGTGACTATAGTATTGTGACACCAAAAAGCCATTAATTTTGAGATGATCATAGGAAATAATTGAATAAAAATATTATCATCCTAACCACATTTGCTCATTAAGTAAAAATCATCATATAATATACTGAAGTTTCGCCGCATATAAAAGACAGCTTGTTGTTTTAACGAACCTTAAAAAATAAAAATGAATTTTTCAGAATTTTTAAAAAAAAGTTCGCCTCGAAGATTATAAGAAGACGAAGAAGCATTTGAGTGCTGCTCAGGTCCAATGAATGATTTTGTCAGGCAAACCTTTTATTTGATTAATAAAGTTATAAAGTTACGCGTAGGATTCCCTTACACACCCTGTGTTCTTTATTCTACATTACATCGTACATCAAGACTCTTCGATTTTTTTTTCTTCGTCAAGGAATTCTGAATTATTAACAATACCATCTATTAATTTATTGACTTCAGATAATACATTGATAATAATACTGCCACTAATAACATTTAATCTTTAATATATTTCCTGCTGCTTTTAAAATAGCGTATCTAATTTAATTGACCTTCGGATTGAGAATCCCTGAAGTTTCTAAGCATCAAATTTTATTATTGTCTATAATCCTGATTCCATTAGCGTCTAATAAAATTGTAACGTGATAGCACCTCCCTACTTTTTTATTCTACATTGAATCATACGTTTGTACCTCTCCTCAGGTTGAGAGGCCCTGAGGCCTCTCATTACTAAATTCCAATAAAACGAAGCCAAGCACAAGTCAGAAGATTCAAAACCTTGTAAACTATTCAATATAAAGGTAGCATTGTTAATTTAGGGGCACGAGATTGAAGTATATAATGCATATTGTAAAAAAAAGATATTTTTTAAAAATAATAGATATTAATACTTTTTTTCCACAGTGTGTTTATTTAATTAGCACAAATTGTTTAGAATTGAGGAAACGGGCGTGATAGTTTATATACGCCATTGAAATAATAATAGGTAACATTAAACTTTAAACTTGTAACAAAACAAAAACTTTGTTTGGTCAATCATTTTTTTTTTTGGAGAAATGTTTTTTTACACAAAATATAAACAAAAAAAACACACATATAATAAAATGGTCTGGACTGTTCTGGCTTGGTCGAAATTAGAATCTTTTTCTTTTATTTTCTTAAAAAAAAACATGTTATTCAAAATTTGAGAAAACATTATTA